TCCGCCATAACTTCTCCCCCTATTTCTACATGTTGTACTTAACTGCAGAGAGCAAATGGAGTTTTGCCCTTGGGCTCGCAGCTTTCCTGCCCCAGCTGCTTTTGCTCCTGGTTGTGTCCGTAGCGTTTTACAGAGACCTTGCCTTCTGTTGTTTCCTACACACTGCTATTTTTGTGAGTTTTAACAAAGTGTGCACGTCCCAGTACTTCGTCTGGTATCTCTGCCTTTTGCCCCTCGTAATGCCTAGTGTTAAGATGTCCTGGCGTCGTGCTGTACTGCTTCTCTTTCTGTGGTTTGTTGGACAAGGCCTGTGGCTCGCTCCTGCGTACTTTCTGGAGTTTAAAGGATATAACACTTTTCTACTTATATGGTTGGCAGGCTTGCTTTTCCTTTTTATTAATAGTTTCATACTCGTTCAGATTATTTCACATTATCAGGAAGATGCACAAGTTGCAAAAAAACAACAGTAATAAACAGGCCAACATCCAGAAACAGCACTACTGTTTGATAAGGCTTTTCGTACCACCAGCACTTTGTTTAATATAAACGTGTGTACATTGTACTATAGTATGTACTATGAAAATGATACTTTCTCAGGGCTGTGAGGGCACTGATTGGCCTTAATTTCCCTCAGCAGCCCCAGTCCTGCCCTGAGCAGTGTCTGCAGGTGTACCTGTCATCCGTGTGGACCTTGAAACTGCACTGTAACCTTCTCTCCAGCCCTGTCTCCTGCTTCTCCTGATGGAACTCCCTGGAAGGACCCTGGACCAGTTCGTCACTTCCCATGTCTGGGGCTGTGAGTGGACTCTGTTAGTAGCACCTGCCTCCGCCTGCCACCTCCAGACGCAGTGTGACTGCGTCCTGGTCAGTGAGGGTATGGCCTGTGCCGGGGTCACCCTCAGCTCCTGCTTGTACCCTGTCATGGAGCAGCCCCAATCTTCTTGCTCCCTGGTGCGCCTTTTTCTCATTGTTACTTTGCTTGAGGACTGTGGCCTCTGTTTAAGAAAACGCAGGAGATTATAAAGGGATCTTGGAGTTTCAGCCTTGTGCATTCCAGTAAGTGGGTGGGGTGTGTTGCAAGGGTTAAGCTAATGAATAAATACAAGGCAATCACTTAATATGTACACTGGGATTTATTTTTTCTTAGCTATACAGCATTTGTGGCCCATACCTGGTGTATCTTCAGTGAAGTAGGAAAAAAGTGGTCATTTCATACAAGCCATTAACTCCTTGAAACTTTTAATTTATTTTAGAATTCAGATACGCCTCCTTATTCAGATACTTATTTTTGCCTTTTTTAGTGCTGTTTAAATTTTTGAATGGATTTATTCCACTTGCCATGGAGGAAGATTTTTCCAAATACCTGTCTTGGATCACAGAGATGTATAAAGCAAAAACATTTGTGTTTCTTGCTGCCATGATCTAAAAGAGGCCACTGCTTTAAACTGCAGTTGATTAACAGTTACTGTGGATGTTAACAGCAAAGAGTCAATGTACAGCTAAAATGGCATCTGTGTCCCAAAAGCATTAGAGTTTATACCAAAAAGTAATTGGAAACGTAGTTTCTCAGTAGTTCAATATCTACTATTAAAAATAAATGAAAAAGAAAGTGAAAGGAGTTGAAGAAGTGGAGCAGTTGCCAGAAGAAAAGGAAAGTTTTAAAATAAGAAGCTCTACAACCTGTCAAAATGAGGTGTTTGTTCCCAAGTGACACACGAGACTATGTGGAATTGAGCGTCAGGTAGTAGTGAGAGGAGTTGACAGCCATTTTGGAGTCAGTACTCAGGAATATCCTACGAGAGATCCAGTGTACACAGCCCTTGACAGAGGTGGAAACCGGTGATGTATTTTTTAATAAAATCTTGAGTTTAAATAGGCATATACCAAACTTAGGAGTGGTCGTATTTGCCTCAGCTTTTAGTTGCACCCTATGGGAAAGCAAAAATCATAGCATGTAACGTGGAGCAGAGCTTCAGGGCAAAATAACTTCAGCCACTTGGTGAGATTCCCAGTGTTGTCAGTGGGAAAGGATATGGCCAAGCAGGTTTGCCTTCCAGGTTCACACTTGCCGTGCTGCCCCTCTGAATCCTGCGGTCTCCTGAGGCAGCCCTCTGCCCCAGGACTGCAGTGTCTCCCCAGCTTTTTTACATAGAGAGTTTTATTTCCTGCTCGTAGTTCTGCCTCATGAGGCTGAACTGCAGCATTTTGATCTGTGAATTTTTCCCATTGCTTCTTGGTCTCATTGAGGTGGTTACTTGAAAGGAGAGGAAGCCCCTGAGCCCCAACAGCCCAGAGCCAAAGGGTGTGGTATCAGGAGGAGTGACGATGTCCATACTCTACTCTGGCCCAACTCAGCCTTTCTGATGTTCTGTTAGGAGGAAGGATGGTTTCCCTGCTCAGAGCAGCGTGGGATGGTTCTGCTTCCCCGCTGGAAGGTGTTCTGGTTTCCCCTGCACTCGCCTTTATACTGTGAAAATCCTGCTGGCCTCTTCTTTGTAAATCCAGAAATTGGATGAGGCAGCGGATGTTCTTTTGATAAACTGTCTTGGTTTTTCAGACAGGTCTGACAGACATGGCACTGATTTCCTTCCCCTGGCTTTGCCTGGGAAAAAGGAAGAAGGACTTCTAGCCCCAGCTTGTCTGCATCTTCCACAATAAGTTTATCAGTCAAAAAACTCATGGCACAAGCTGCTTTCACGCACAGTTCAGTTTTATATCAATCACCAGAACATGTTATATGTGCTATGAGCACATGAAGAGAAAGCGTCCCGTGTGGATTTATTATCTGAGGTAGAGGTTGACATGCCCAGCTGGTGTTTGACCAAAAGACTGAAGAAGCTCTTCTCTGCCAACACCTCCATTCACTCCATCCCAATGTACTGCGGTGATAGCTTGTTTTCCCTTGCAACTGATCTTCTGTTACCCATTACACACTTTTCTGTTGCAAATTCCATGTTCTCTTCCCCAAAGCAATGTTTTGTATCTCTTTAATAGACCTAATTATGCTGTTTCCAGACCTTTCTACACCCTTATGTTTTCCCTCCTGTTGGCAAAGAAAGCAAATGAAAGCCGAAAGGCATTTCCAGCTTCGAAAACCTTTAAAAAAAAATGGCATTTTGAGTTACTGTGTTCATGACAGAATTATAATGTTGTTTTTAAGTAAGTAAGTAATTTCCTTATGATAAATACATTCTCGATTCATTAATAGCTAAATCATTTTCAGGCCTTCAGAAGGCAGGTTCTGCAGCAACAGGGACTGAGGAGTACCTTCCTTTGCAGGTCAATACCAGCCCTTCAGTGATGTTTTGAAAAAGTCGTGCATAAATAAGTTATAAAAAGGCTTTTATACAAACTTAGATTTACAGTCGTCAATTTCATAATCCAGTATGAGTTCCTCTTTTTACAGTTGTTGTTTTGTAAGCAAGCTAGTCACTGAAATGTGTTTCGGATTTAGAAATAGTTCAGTGACTCATAAAAAGCTGAATGGGAGAAATGAACTGAGAGGCCAACAGGAGAAGTATTTGAGACTTTAGATCTTACAAATTGCTTTAGATAGTTCAATAGAATTGAATAACTTTATTCACTGATAAAAAGCATTTAATCAAAATAATTGTAGCTGAGTCCAGAACAAGTTATAATTCATGAACAAGTCATGGTGATTAATTATAATGCCTTTAAAGTTTACCAAATTAATTTCCTATGGAACATTTATTGCTTTTGATGGTGTTCACATTCTTTTGCTTAATAATTTTAGGTCCATTTATCTTCTGGTAATTAGGAACTGAACTGTGTGAATGCTCGCTTTCACTCCCCACCATGGGCTGCAAGATAGTAATGCTATTTTTTTAAAAAAAGATTGAGTGCCCAATGAAATGTGTCTCATTTGCTCAAATTTTTTACATTGCACTGAAACCATCCCTGAAGTGCAAAGTGCAAGACATGAAAGACGAAGTGAGAAGAAGAAAAGCAATATCAAGACAAATAATGTTTTTGCCTTGCTTTTTACACTGTAGCCTATAGTCCGAAGGCTCATGTCTGGATTCACAGGGGACTTTAGTCACAGCTTCAGCATTTAACAATGATTTGATGTAAAATTTATAAATGGAATTACTCAAATAACAAGTTAAACAAAAATATAATAATAAATGTTTCATTAAATTTCAGTATGAGCATGCTAAATTACCATCTCTAACACAATAATTAGTACTTGGTCCTTATTAAGCAACTTAGTAGCATTGTATTGACTCCTGTAATAGTAAAGGCAGCAGTTATGTGCTCTAAACTGAGGTCATCAGTTTTCTTTTTCAAAGAAACCTTGAAGCTTTTATATTTTAACAGCGAGGGGAAACTCCAACATTTTTCTTAAGGTTTTGTAGAGAAAACAAATGTTAAAAGACCATAAATTATGAGCAAATTGTTTCCTTTTTTTAGCTAAAAAGAATGAGGCATCTATTTTAAAAGGGCAGCAGAAATACGTAGTAAACACATGGAACTCAAAGCGTGTATTCTTCATATACGTCCCAAAGATACCTGTAGAACGCATATCCTAATGGTGGCAGCATTATCAAACAGGATTATCCTGAACTTTGGACAAACCCTTTACTCAGACTGAAACCCAACCGCGCATGCAGCTTTCTTGCATAAGGGCATATTTATGCGCACCATGCACACAAACCTAAACCTACCTGCACATACAGAAACAGAAAGAAAGGTCCCAGACAAGACACCTTTGAATAACACGATTTTTCAGAGCTGCCTTCTGGTTTCTTATATGTTTCTTATATTCAGTACTCAAAATCTCTAGTGACTCTAAAACTTGAATCACATAAATTTTGATGCATACGGAAAGTAAAAGCATATGCAGCAGGGACATTGAGTTGTAGTAGACACGTTCAAGAACCAGCTAATTCTGACTGTATTTGAAGGTGCACATTCCACCAGTGTCCTGATGTTGTTCATTTCAGCAATCTGCGCTGGTCACATTATTTGTGTAGGAGCCTCGCTTCATTCTTTATGCAGGATGAATGAGGTCAGAGACCTACATTTTGTATTAGTAAAAGTATCAGAAAGTTAAACGTTTCTCTTGATGAAGCAGTTATTTAAAAATGTTGTTAATGATGTTATTTGAAAAAAAAAAAAAAATTTCTTTTCTGTAAGGACCTTAATAAACCCGTTCATAAATCCAGGCAAGCCATGCATAACTTCTAAGTCTCTTTTTCATTGGACACTATCCCATAAATACAAAGGAGACCAAAATTTGTCATTTTTTAGTAGTGTAAATCAATAGTATCTTGTTTCAGCAGAATGCCTCATCTCTCTCCTTTCTGGCACATGCTGAGGCAGGCATGGGCTTCTACAGAAACAAGAGGTTGCTTATTGGAGGCCATCTTACTTGATGCGTAGATAAAGCTTTAGCTTCAGCCTCTTCTTATTCTTAGAGCTTAACTTTGAGCCTTTAACATTCTCTTCA